TAGTATAATATCGATAAAATGGACGATGTATATAACTTTTTTTTGTGGTTTTAAGAAGGCACGTGAATGATATTAAGTATACGATTGGTTCTTTCTAAAATTGCCTTATTTGAAATGTGAGAGGCCTGCATTATTTGTTAATGTAATTTATTGAAACTTCGGTATGTATTGGCATTCATAATATCGATCTACAGTAATATCTGTTTCCATTGTGCTCTTGGGGGAGTTCTTTATCGAAATGTGAAGTAATTACCAAGATGGAAAACATTCGGATTTAAGCGTTCCTGATGACATTTTCAGAAAAGGTCTTTGGACTTCTTAAATCTGATAGGTATATTCATTTTAACCGGCACTGGGTCGATACCGCTGCTGGACTCATCAGTTCAGTACTCAGTAATTCGGTACTGACATGATTTATTACATACCTTTCTCAAATAGTCCGTCAATAAATTAAGAAATTATCAAGAAAATAAGATTGTAACTCCCTCAGGCAAAGTTGACCATCTTAGATGGATTTGATTATTATTTCAAGATTCCCTTTTGGTCACCATTTACCTGTATCGGTTCTAATAATCCTTGGCTTCATTATTTGGCTTTGGGGATTCCTGATGACGATTAATCCAAATAAGGGCTTTGGACGCATACAATTTATAATTTTTTTTTCATTTTCAATACTTTTACTATATTCTTTCATAGATACAAAGAATTGGTTTGCTGTCGATCAAAACGTCTAGCATTTTTGATGATGTCATATTTGCTGTATTGGTTTTTTGGAATCGGTGTGCTTCTTCACAATGTTAGATTCTTCAATGGATATGGGACAACTCGGTCCGGAGACAATTCGGACCAAGTCAACATGGACCGACTAATAAGTCAACTCGGACCGTCTATAAAATCAACTTTGACCGTCTATTATGTAAATCCAGACAAAGTATTAAAAGAAAGTTTGTTCTATTTAATTATTATAAATGATTAAAAGTAATTTTTCACATTAAACATATTCTTTAATTGTTGCTGAATTTTCAATGAATTATCAATATAGTTTGTTCAATGTGAATCTGAATTTCTACTATGTCTTTTTTGTTTTTATTTATTACAAAACTTAATGCATACATTAAAAAAATGAAGTTGTTGCTGAATATTTTTTATTTTTTGTTGTTGAATTCGTTATTTATTATATTCTTTTATATACTTTAATCTTATTGCATATTTTTTTTGTATTTTTAAGTCCGTCAATACGTCACCTTAGACCGTCTACAAAGTCAACTCGGACCGTCTACAATGACAATTAAGACAAAGTATAAACAGAGTTTGTGCTATTTAAATGATTAAATGTTATATTTCACAGAAAAATATCATCCATACCTTGCTGTACTGAAATTGAAGTGCCGTGCCCAAAGTAATGTGTTTAATGTAAAATCGAGTTTTTACCTTAACAAAAAAATGCTTAAGTCATAATCAAATTAGATTAAATAAAAAATCATAGTAAATTTAATTTTTCAATCTTCAACAATAGACAGATGCATGTCTTCACAAAAATGATCTAATCTTCATACACGGTCCGAGTTGTCTTTTAGAAACTCATTAAATTTTTTATGTACTCGCGCATTTTCTTGAACTCTTTGTCTAAGTTGCCGATGTAGACAGTCCGAGTTGACTATTTAGACGGTCCGAGTTGTCTTTTTTAGACGGTCCGTGTTGTCTTCGGGTCGAGTTTTCTAGCACCCTTTTCATGACCTAAAACAATGAATTTGTAACTATAAATATCCTTTTTGTAGAGAGCACTCTTTAATAAGAAGATGTAGCTATTTTTCAATTGAGCACAGGGAATAAGAGATAAGAGCGTATTAAAAGGAAAATGACAAAAATAACGAACTCAAAGGAAAATTCAAATCGGAAAGTCCCTTTTGAAATGGCAAAATCAAAAGCTCAAACACATCAAACGAATGGAAAACAACTGTCATATTTCTGACTTGGTACATGCAGTTCCTTATGTAGAAAATGGTGGATTAAACCTGGTTTGAAAGCTAGCTAAACCCCCCACTTGTATGACAGTCGCTTAAAATTCCATTATATTGACAACAATGTGTGAACAAAACAAACAGACATAATAGGTAAAAATGTCAAAAATAGGGGAATAGCAGTCAACATTGTGTGTAACTTAATCACTATAAAACAAACAAATATGTCAACAAACAAAAACAAAATGGCATATAGACATAGCACATAAGCAACAATGAAAGACAAGAATACAAAAAATGACCACAGCACAAAAAACACATTGGCAGGACACATAAGTACCGAGCCACGCCAAAAGGATTACCAAAAATGTACTAAACAGTAAAGGTTAATAATTTACAAAGACAAAAAAAATAACACTTTAACACGTAATAAAGATGATACACAACGTCAGTACCTAGAATCTTTACTCCAAGACCATCATGTAGAATCCATCTTTAGAATGTTAACAAATCCACGTTTGAAACATTAAGCAAGCATCATATAACTGTCAAAATCAACATGTATAACTGCAACTGTTAATCCCTTATCTAAGCAGCATCTATTTTACTTACCAAAGGGGCCTTCCTGTCAACACTGAGGTTGCCAGTACGAACAACACAATTCGCAGGTGTGTTCGACTCCGTTCTTACTTGACTAGGATTGTCAGTCTTCCTGCTGAAGGTATGTATTTTTCTCCGGTCACTCCGTCGTCCTCGACCAATAAAATGTGACCGCCATGATATTACAAAGAGTGCTTAAGTCGCGATAAAACTCCAAAAAATCAATCAATCCAATTTACCTGTAAAAGTATTAAAATTTTCTGTCAATATGCCTCGACAATATATGTGCATTGTTATGGTTTTGAGACGCTTATCCCGTCGACACACCAGTGCTTGCTCCTTTTGGAGTTCATTCGATTTCCTCAATTTGTTTTTATTACCGTGTTATGTCTCTTTTAAATCGATTAACGAGATTTAAACATTAGTAAACTAGTGTCGCATTAATTGGAATAATAATTGAATACCAAAATATAATATTTGCAAAATGACAACCATTTTCACAATACTATGTATAAAAAAGTAAAATAATAAAAATACCGAACTCCAAGGAAAATTCAAAACGGAAAGTCCCTTCTCAAATGGCAAAATCAAAAGCTCAAACACATCAAACGAATGGAAATCAACTGTCATATTTCTGACTTAGTATTATAGCTAGCTAAACCTCTTACTTGTATGACAGTCGCTTAGAATTCCATTATATTGACAAAACTGTGTGAACAAAACAAATACACAAAATAGGTACAAATGTCAAAAATTGGGGTACAGCAGACAATATTGTGTTATCATCTTAATCACAATAAAACAAATAATTATTTCAACAAAGAAAAACAAAATGGCATATACCGATATATATATATGTATGATACCGATATCAGTGCTGCTAGAATCACATTTATCAGGTACATCTACACCCAACCCGTACCATTGAGTAGGCTGTAGGAGGTTATTGCAACTCTAAACTAAGTAAAATAACATAATTTATAAAACGAAAGTTTATAAACAAAATTGTTTTTTAAACCTTAGGGGAATGGATATCATGAGTAGTCAGCACTTCTATGTTGACACGAATTATCATTGATATGGTTATATAAACAAATTACAACCAAAACAAAATATAACTATTTACAAAACTATGATTTTTTAAAGCGAAATACTAGGGATTTTCTACCTCAGGAATAGACTATCGTAGCTGTATTTTGCAAAACCTTTCGGGACTTTTTGTCTCCAATGCTCTTCAACTTCGTACTTTATTTGGCCCTTTTAACGTTTTTGTTTCTAGTGTCACTGATGAGTCTTTTGTAGACGAAACGCACGTCTGGCGTATACAATTTTAATCCTGGTATCTATGATGAGTTTATGTGTTACTCATAGACTACTACTCCCGGTACATATGCAATGCAAACGTAAAAAAAACTTTTAAATTAAGGAATGCATCTCCTTCGTTCAAAGCTCTTATTCCTTTTCCCGATCTGACTATTCATTATAGTCCATTTATTTCATATAAATTTATGACGTTTTTATTATTTTTAGACTTCAAATATATTACCTCGAAAGCACTAAAGATAATTTAATTGTCGAAATTGCCATCCTGCGCATTGAAACTTGTGCCTATAATGTTATTAGTCATCTTTTTAGAAATATAAAATCATGAAACATTAAACGCCTATTTAAGGCTTGACCAAAAATTTCGTTTCAGTTTCATTTAACGGTACCCATTTTACTGCACCAGATGCGCATTTCGACAAATAATGTCCATTCAAACTAAAAATGCCATGAATAAAATGTTCATTGCTGTATTGTGTTTTTTTCTTCTCAATTTTTCTTAATGTCCAATTCAACATGCACGTTAACAAAATCATACGGAACAATGCATTATATATATTAATCAAATGTAACGTTTATTTTTATGTTGGATTTATATGATATAAAAGGAGATTTGGTCATAAGATAAGTACAAACGTGTACGCTGATTTTTCAGGACACTAACAGTTGTGAATTAAAACAACGGTAAGTGGGGTCTTCTAACATTCGAAAAGGACAATTTTATTTTTCTATTTGCAACTTTGCATTAAAAGATTTTTTTTTATTATCTGTCAGAATGTTTTGGTTCAGTATAAATTTTTAGAACTATAAAACATTACTTAAATGTTATTATTCCTCTTAAAATAAAATAACGCTTTTTCATGTTTGACCAAATTTTTGTTTTGTTTTCAATAAACGCGACTAACTTTACTGCACCAGATGCGCATTTTGATTTATGTCTATTAAAAGTGGAATTGCATGATATGAAATGTGCATTTCTGTATTATGCGTCATTCTATTACTTTTTTCCTTTATGTCTAATTTAACATGCACATAAACAAAATCATACGGAACAACGAATATAAATATATATTGATTTAAATGTTATTTTTATTGCAATAAGGGATTTATATGATATTTAAAGAGATTTAGTCACAAGATAAGTGCAAACGTGTACGCTTATTATGCAGGACACTTAAAGTTGTAGACTCAAAACAACGGTAAGTTCGATCTTTTGACTATCGAAGAAGTACGATTTCATTCTTATTTTGACAATTCATTAATGGATTTATTTATATTACCTGCCGTAATGGGTTTGTTAAAGGTAATTTTTTTAACATTAAAATGATAAAATATTTCTACGTGCACATATCTGTATCAAACTAACGCGTCATGTCAATTCCGGAAGATAACCAGCTTTTATCCTGTATTATGTAAAAAAAAATTTAGAGAGATGAGGTATGATTGCCAATGAGAAAAATATCCACTAAAATTCAAATGAAGTGGATGTAAGCAATTATGGGCAACCGTACGGCCTTCAGCAATGAGAAAAACCCATACCATATAATCGTCTATAAAAGGCCCCGATATGAAAAATATGAAGCAATTCAATTTTGAAAATTAAAGTCCTAATCTTTAACAAAACAATTTACGAAAATCAAATATGACAGACATTTGGTTCATGTCTGTCATATTTGATTTTCGTAAATTGTTTTGTTATAGACTAGGCCATTAATTTTCTAAATTGAATTGAACCAACGACAACCACTGAACTACAGGCTCTACACTTTGGGATAGGCACATACAGAATGTGGCGGGGTTAAATATGTTTTTGAGCGCTCAACGCTCCCCCTAACCTGGGACAGTGGTATAACAGTACAACATAAGTACAAACTATAAAAATCAGTTGAAAAGAGATTATTTCATTAGATCGATACAAAGCAGAAAAAAACATCTAACAAAAACACAGACCGGACGTGGCAGGGTATTTATTCTTTCCTAACAAAAAAAGGGGCACACGGTACAGTTCTGAGAGTACTCGCAGTTACTGAAAGCTAATTCATAGCCAATAACAACTAATAAAAAATCATGTTTCTAAGACTAAAATATCAATCAGTGCACATCCAACACCCAAAGGATTCAGCGTAAGGACCTCATTAACAGTCAGAGAAAAATACGACCTTTTTCAATGCCAAAATAAAGGTATCGACGGATTGTAGTACCGTGAAAGTGCATATGTGTAAAACAATAATATGTTTTTGATTTACTGATAGCAAAATCAATATTTATACCAATAAAAATGATATTCAAAGATCTAATTACAGTGTTGTACAGTACATGCGTTCATTCATGGCACATTTTTGAATGAAGTTACATGATTGTGATTCTTCTATCTTCATTTTTTCTTAATGATTCAGGTAATCAAAATGCACACCTTTTTTTGCAAAACCTTAAAGCTGTTGGACAACAATGCTATCAAAATCCTCCAACCTTGAAAAATAGCAATTTAAGTAATATTAATGAATGTCATAACCCAATTTGGTGAACGCATTTGAAAGTATAAAGGTTTGAACCAGTTGTTAAAGGTAAAAAAAAAAACAACCATCAAGCAAATCTGTTGCTCCAAATAATTTTACTTGCTATAACTTAGTGTTCCTTAAAATAAAGTTTTTTAATTGCCTATTAGTTTTTATCTCTGAAAAAGACCGAGAAACCCCGATCATTAATTGAATTGAGATATAGGGTGGAAGGGAAGGAAGGGGAGGATTTTATCTAATCGATAGTCTAAATCAAATTTACCAGAACTAAATGACAACAAAATCATGTTCGATCTTAATTTAATTTTTAAAATATATCATTAGGAGAGAACGTACATCGACGACTAATACATGATTCTGCTTAAGGTTAAATGGGAGTGATCGAATACTTGGCAGATAACAGACGCCCAGTAACCATTAATTATGTACATTCAAAAACTGTAATGATTTTAGATGTATTTCAATGGAATACATTCTGCTATTCAACAATAAAGTTTTTTTTTATATTTAGTTTTCGATTTGAAGTTATAGCAGGGATAGCAGTACAGATAGAAACCTTACAAAGATGGTTTTGCTTATGCTAGTGGTACTGTACTTCTGCAGTTTAGAAGAAGTAGTTGCTTCAGACAATCCAATTTCACCACAGGCTTACAAAAATGTTCTAAATCAAGGATTTGCAACCACATATTTTGAACAATTAAATTTTGACCAAGTCTACGATAAAAAGGACGTTGTAGATGTTTCTGAGAGAGGATTCACAAACTTAAGGTTACGATGCAGAGAAGATCTTGACGGGTTTAATATGACAGCATTTTTAGCTAATTTAGAGACGGTTGTAGATGATTGCTTAAGTCTTAATGTTACACCTTACATTTCTTGGATAAATCATGCAGCGGAAGCCGATGCCACTGAGGAATATCGACAAGGTTATTTGGATTGGTGGAAAGCTGTTGCAATACAATTGAAGGACAAAGATTACAGACTTTCATTTAACTTATTTACCGAGCTTGACACAGATAGCAGCCTACGTACAAACTCATCAGGCTACAATGACTGGACTCGTTCTGTCATAAAAGTCATCCGTGATACAGGTGGAAATAACGAGAAGCGTATTCTTATTCTTGCGTCTCCTGAGATAAGTGCAGAAGGTTTGCAAAAAATAGACCCAACCATTTACCAGAATGATACCTATTTGATGATAGAAGCACACACATATGCAGCAGGACCACAAAACATATTCGAGAACGGTTCATGTAAGAGTTCCCCTCCAAGATGCTGGATAGGGGATGGCGAAACTATCGGTAAAAGTCTTGTGGACCAGAACATTGAATTTGCAACAAAGTTCACAAAAGACAATGGCATTGAGATCGTCTGGGGGGCATGGATGCCGTTTGACAATACGTCAGGAGGATTAAACCAAACAGAAGTTATTGATTTTAGTACGTATTTTGTTCAAAGTCTTAAAAATGCATCGATCCCTTGGTCTGTGAATGACCTTGACAAATTCTATGATGTCATGGCAAGCCAGTGGAAAACAGAGCTGTCAACCATCAAAGAGCAGCAGTTTAATACAACACTCGTATTAGACGCAATTGTTGAAAATATGTAATTTGATTTAATTCAACAGGTAAAACATTGCGAAATGAAAACATGCAAGTTGTTGTACGCCTGTGAATAAATATTGATAAATATGGCTGAAAGACTATTGGTTTTATATTGCTTTGTTGTTTTATTTACGTATACCATAAATCTCCGTTTATTCTTACAAAAGCGATCGAGTAAACCAAAAATAAAACCAAGACAATATCAAAATGGTTCAAGACTAGCACACAATTGACATCAGACATTTGCATATACAAATGAGAGGTGAAAGCTAACACGAGGGCGATACGAACTCACACAAAACATCATGAACAGAGTCAGATGTTATGGAAGTTTATCTGACCCAAGTTCTGTTTTCTGGTTAAGATTCTCTTGAAGTCTTCTTTTTATATTTAATTATGTATTTATTTTTGCATACATCAATATGTCAAATTCAAGAGCTAGATGTTGATACATATACAATGACAACAGGAATCAACAAAACAAATACTGGACAGTACAACAAATCAAATCAATCACCAATACCCAACATTGATGTTGAGTAACTTGAATTATTTCCCTTAGAATGCAGATTGTCTTTGTACACATGCATTTGTTATTTTGCTTGTTACTTGGTATTAGAGAGTTTTAACTTGCCATATAATCCATTAAGTTATTATGTGAATAAAATAAGTTTAAATCGAATTAACTTCGGACTGGGGACAAAGATCAGACGTATAAACAATGACACCCAACAAATAACAGCACTTGATATTGGCACACACTTGGTTGTTAGCATTTTTAGAAATATGCATATAACTCCAGTTAAATGTCTATCTTATCCGCCCCTTCCACCAGTAACCACAGCAACCATGTTGAGATTTTACCAATAAATCTTAATGTTTTTCTTGTCCTAAATGTGCATTTAATATTCGCAACATGACGCAATGACGCAATGCAAAAAATGCAATCAATCAATAAATAAATTTCTGAAGTATCATCAGATACTTCTCTATTTAGTAAAAATAATATGACTATGAATCATATGTCTTAATCAAACTATAACATGGGTAGAATGATTTCTATAAAGTTATTTCTAACAGTATGAAGTTGACTCTATACAGATTTATCTCTTGTTTGTGAAATAAAAACAAATTTGAACATTTTATCGATATCACAAACTTGTCAAAACATTTACTAAATTTTATCATCGGTACAAGGAAGTTATTCGTAAAAAAAATTAAGCAACGTGCAGACATCTTAAACGTTCGGGTATTTCACATCCATTCTTTTATGGTTATATTCTATACAAAGTATAAAAATGTCGTCATTCACCTCAAAAGCTAACCAAACCTATAAACAGACTTATGAAGAAGGGATATAGTTACGATACTGTTGTCAGGTCATGAAAGATGGCATTTTTTGGAATTAATATTGATTCACTCATAGGGTCTTTGCATCGGAAATAAACACATGTATTCTAAAACAGTTGTTGGCATGATACGGGTTATATTCTCCTCGTATATTTTATGATGGTATGATACTAAACCCCTAAGGGATTGTGCTTGATTTTCATAGGATGAAGACATAATCTTTCAATCAGTTTAATTAAGGTCTGGAGCTTGCATGTCAGTAACTGCTAGTAGTCCTTTGTTTATTTATGTTGGTCATTGTCATTTTGTTTAGTTTCTTCTGTTTCCTATTTCTAACATCGAACTCGGGCTTCTTTTGAACTGAGTTTTACTGTGCGTATTGCTGTGTGTTGGTTTATTCCACATTGGCTAGAGGTATAGGGGAGGGTTGAGATCGATCTCATAAAACATGTTTAACCCCGCCGCTTTTTTGGGCCTGTCCCAAGTCAGAAACCTCTAGCCCTTGTTAGTCTTGTATGTTTTTTTTTTATTTTGGCTCATTTATATGTTTCGGAGTTTAGTATGACGTTCATTTTCGCTGAATTAGTATACATTATTGTTTAGGGGCCAGCTGAAGCCCGACTCCGGGAGTGTAATTTTCTTGCTGTATTGAGGATCCATTGGTGGCCTTTGGCTGTTTTCTGCTCTTTGGTGGGGTTGTTGTCTCTTTGACACATTCCCCGTTTCCATTCTCAATTCTATCACTAAAATATCCGTCTGACCGAACAAATATATCAAAATTCATACCCCAGACCTTAACCTCCGCCTTTTTTTGACTCGTTTTAATAGATATGACTATTTAGATATATAAAAAAAATCCTTGAAGGTTTAATTGAAATGAAATCAGTGTTTTCGGAGACTACAGTTTGACCTTCCACTGCTATAGATCATGCAAAGTCCATTTTTTGCTAGGGGAAATAAAAATTAATTATTTATATTAAACAATAAAAATATATGTCCAAATCTAATTAATATTTGGACTCAAGCTAGATGGAATTTTGGGCACAAAGTGCAGATAAACAAAAGTACTAAGGAACAGACAAACGAAAGAAGGAGGACACGAACGGAGGACACGAACGCACAAACCACGCGAAAAAACAAGACAATCAATATATACCACAACCATAGTAAGCGGGAGGTGTAACAAACATATGTATTGTTAATCAAACTTTAAAAGAAAAATTCATTGACCTACAACAGACATTTCTTTCTTGTTTTTAATAAGGAAAGAGCCACTTAAACAATTGTCAGCGGTATGCTTGTAATTACACAAAGCTCTTTATTTGAGTTTAGTTTCGAAGTATGGTAGAAGTAAAAAATTAAAACATTAAAAATTCATCTTTACAAAATACTCATACAACATGAAATAAAAAAAAAAAACATTTTGGAATTAACAAGGTTATTTTCTTTAATATTTCTAGCAACGTAACAACATGCATTAACAACAGAAACATGAAAACCATAAAAACATTAAAAATACAATCATTAAAAAATCAAAAATACAACCCTTAGATAAACCCAAAATATCGCCCCAAATTCACCCCCTAAAATCAGGAGGTCACCTGTACATGAGGATATTAACATACAAAAAACAGTTAGAGGACTGGTTAACGTTCACTAGAAAGTATGATGTCCACCGCGGTACGAAAGTACAAGATTTCGAAATTAGTTTAGAATTTCCTAAAACAAAAACAAAAAACAATTCATTCAGTGATGTTGGAAACCAAATATTGGTAATCTGAATTTATCGAATGTAAAATTGAAACAAACCAAAAGTAACACCTAAAGTGACGTCACAAGCTAGTTAAAAGATTACTTACATCGGGATGCAAACCTTAATTATCTATTTGTCAACTTCAAATGTCTCGAGGATCAATATCAAAACAATATCATGCCAGAACAATAGTAGCGGGTACAGAGTTAGTCATACGCTCAGTTATTTGCAATAAACTAGTAATGGCATCCACCTAATGGTAGTTATTCAACATAATAAGATACTTAATTAAATGTTTGCACCATATGCGAATGTTGTTTGAACTATATATAGCATTCATCGCTCCTCGGAAAATCTAACAATGGAAGCGGAATCTGTCGAAGTGTGCCAATTGCGAACAATGTTGCTCGAAACTTAATAAAGGAATTCCGAAATAGTTTTTTTTATTAAAGACAACAGTAATATACTGATTGTCAATTTTCTTCAATCCATTTGAAAATAAAAAAAATCGAGAAAATCGATGCACTAAAAAAGGAGCATGTCCTGGAGGGCCATTAGGATAAGTGTCTTCCCAAAAATATATTAAGAACAATCAGATCAATACGCAAAACATCTAACATTGTCCAAATAGCTTTCAACGGAAGTGGAAATATTTTTTTCACGATTTATAGCTTATCGTGCATTAACTATTTTAAGGATCAATGCTTTACGTTCTCTTCTTGTTTTGAATTCTGTATGTAATGATGCGGTGCGGAAGAATTGCTAATGGACAGCTATCCAAATAACGTTGATTTACGCAATTGTAGATAACTGCACGACTTTCAACACTCAATTTGTGATAATTATCAAATAGTCGATTAGCGAATATATCATAATGTTTGAAATCGCTGAAATATGATAGTGTCTATGCCTGTAAACTGTATTTAAAGAATATTACGGAAGCACGTGAGATTCCTATCATACGTGTCTTCCTAAAACTGGATCAGTACCTTTGCTGTAGGACAATCACATGGTATCAACCGCTCAGTAGCCAGTAGTTCAGTATGATATAGGAGACCTTTTATCAATTACATTTCTGGTTGATATACTTAAACAATGGTAAAAGTTTACCTTTGGTTCTTTCTCATACGTTGATATTTTTGGACTTTCCAACTGTTGGTCTCGATTGCAACTGATAAATGTAAATCCTCGATCAGGAGTTTTTCGTGCGGAATTTTTTTTTTCTACTGTGGTATACTATGTACAAACACTTTTCCATTTTTTTTTCGAAATAAATTACATGTTTTGTTTTCTATGTTGTGTTTTGTCGACTCTTGTTTGTCTTGTGGTCGTTTTTTGCCATAGCATTGCAGTTTAATCCGAAGAATGCCATTATAATCAAATCAACCTGTTTCGTTTCACAAGAAGTTCTGACTAAACAACACGTTATTTAAGTCAAGATATAAGAAATCAAACAGTAGTAATCTTTTTGCCAATGAACAATTGCAACATATTGACCATAACACCCATTTTTCTAAATTAACAATACTTACCGGCTGCAATTTCAATCCTTTAACTATTAATTTTACATCCGATTATACATACAATTTTACACCATTTTTTTTGAAAAATGCCTGTACCAAGACAGGCACATGACAGTTGTTTTCCATTCGTTCCGTTGGTTGATAGAGTCTAACGTTCGGGTTTGTCAGTTTTAATGGTCTTTCACTTTTTGAATTTGCCTTCGGGCTCGGTATTTTGTAATATTTTTTTAAGATATCTATGAAAAAGGCTATCTAGGTACTCTAGCATATTTTCTATATCAAACAACTATTTAACGTCGTTTACAGTGTTTATACACTAAACAAGTTACACATATCATCTGTTTTGTAAGCAGTTTATCAATGTTTGACACTACAAAAATGTTACAAATATTTTTTAACATTTAATATGTAAAACGGTGGATTTAACAATCCATCATTACAATGCATTCATACATATACAATTTTCTCTCATCTT